AAACACATTTATAAATTTTTCTGATGAATTAATGCTTGTTTTTGGTGAACCATTCAATATAACAGGTGATCTTCATTACACAAATGAAGAAGTAATTGTTCGTCAAAAAATGATGGCTTATTGGACGAATTTTGCTAAATATAGGTAATTGATAGTTTCAGATCAATAAGAAACTAAACATATATTTGATATTAATCGATTCGTATCTTTATTTCTCAACAGATGAATATACATCTGTAGAATGATGATAAATGAGCAAGCTAAAAAACACATAATTCGAACAAATAATCATTCATCAAAAAATAGTTGTAGAATAAAAAAGAAAATAAGAAAGAGACTTATTGAATAGTCTTTCATATTGAATATAATTGAATATTCTTTTCTTTTCTTTTCTTTTTTTTTTGAAATCAGTAATCCAAATCAAGGACATGATACACAATGGATAAATGAATGGCGTCCTTATAAATGGCCAAGTCGAGAACATATTGTATTAAATATTGATTTAAGTAGAAGTCATTCCCCTGAACATGGTTCAGCTCATCGTGCTGATTATTGTTCATTTTGGTTAGACTTTATACCTAAATTAACAAATGCTAATTATATGTGATAGATTTTCCTTTTCATTAGAAAAAAAAAGAAAGAGAGAATTTATTATTTTTGTTGTTTAGCTAATATTAGTGAAGATGGACTACGATGGAAACAAGAATTTCGTCAATATCAAGAACGAACACAACAATGGGATTATTATTATGGAAAATATTTAGAATTACTTGAAAAAAATCGAGAAAAACTTTATAATTGTCTTGGTTAGAAGATAATTTTTTTCTTCCTCCGTTTTTTTTTAATTTGAATATTTCATTCAATGTTGGCTTTGTATTGTGTGTTTATTTTCATATAAAGAATAAAGAAGAAAAACACCATTGTTTTTTGTATTATTAACACAATGTATCAATAAATGAATATTTACATTTTTTGAGAGAGAAATAAAAATTAAAAAAACACATTTTATTTGAATAAAAAATGTTCAAATAAATCAACATGTTTTTCTAGGTAGAATGTAATGTTACAGAATTCTTCGTACATGTAGCATTGTAGTATACATTTTTTATTTACTGCTACGTTAAAATACAATGATTTACATGTAAAAACAGAAAGTTGGAAGCTTGTTTCCTCTTTGTTGTTTTATATTGATTGAAATAAATCAACGAATATATATATATATTTAAGACGAATACGCATGATATAAACAATAATTTTGAAGTCATTCTTTTCTTGTTTGAGAAAAGTACTTCTTGAATATCTATAAAATAAATGATATCAAATAAAATTCTATCCTTTATAAATTCCGCAATTTTTTTATCATTAAATATTCGATAAATTTTGATTTGTGCCTGATTTTTCTAATATTGTAATTAATTATTCAGAATAGAGCAATTTTCACAACATGAGTTCCTTGTTTTTTACAACTATGTAGATTATAATAATTATGATGACTAAGATAGATTTTGTTAAATATTGATAATGAAATGTCTTAGATAAAAGATATGATTAAAGTGCTATTAATTATTTTGTTTCAATCTATTGTTATCCATCTTAGAGATGTTAATCGCGACTAAATTTTTATTGCTCTTGTGCGTATAACTAACTTAATTGTGCTACAATAATCTATAAAACATAGTTATTGCATACTGTAATGATATTTTTGAAAAAAATGTTTTAAATTTTACTGCTTTCATTCTATTTAATTAGAACTGGTGTTCATCTTATCTCAGTATCAGATTGTTGTTGTTCTTGATCATTAATTAAAGTACTTGTTTGATAAAACAGATGTTAACTTTCTCGTAAGATCGATGTAGAAAGAATCTTGCTTGATGAGACAAGCAGTATCTTATCAATAAGATTCTTCTATTTATTGTTCTATATTTGCCTGCAGCTTGTTATCTATTTGTAGCGTTTATTATGAAATCACTGATAGTGAAAAATTACATACATGCTATTTTAATTTATTTTTCCTCATAGTTATCATTTAAATTTAAGAAATGTTGAAAGAAAATAAAAGAAAAGCTAGGAAACATTTTGTTGACCATGTTTCCATAGAAAAGTTGAGAAAAACAGAATTTTTCTCAAGCAAAATTCATTCCATCCTTCGACTGACGTTAACATGCAAAACTTGGACATTGTTTCAGACAAATATCATTTGTTCATGATATTAAATACAAATAATAATTTCCAGGTTATCTAAATAAATATAGTAACAAAATATGATAATGCACATCGTAAAAAAATAGTCATTTCTCATAAAGTTTTAGTTTTCTACAAACAACAATATATGATTCATGATCGTAGTTGGAAAAATCCAATTACACAATACTGTGTCAGGTATATGTGCAGAAAAGGAAGGTAAATAATCAATTAAAGAAAATAATAAAACGTATTATTTGATTCATCCATATATATAACTGAAAACATGATCACATGATACCCATGTAACCATAAAACGCATTTTTGACGCGTTTAAACACGTCTGGAATTCAAAACAGCCTCCAAACGCACTAAAATGCGTTCACCATAGGGGTGTTTAAACGTGTTGCAAAGTCATGCATGAGTTCAGACGCCCTTCGTGACTAGAACACATCACAACTGGTTCATATTAGTTTTTAAACGCGTTTCAACGCGAACAGTTTCGTTTTTGCATCGGAATGCGTTCATAACTAATTAGAAATAATATTCACTTAGACGCGTTTCAATGCGATTGCTTTTACTTTTGCATCCGAACTCGCTTACCCTATATGCAGCTAATACTTTTGAGTTCCATTAATACATGTAAATGTAGTTTCTTTTTTCGTTTTGCATAGATAAGATGCTTTTGAATGTGTTTCTAGCTACAAGTGCATATAGTGCTATCAATAATACAGACTACTTCGTCACAGTATACGTGACTATATCTCGAACAGTAAACTGAACTAAGTGTTTTTCATTCAAAAAAGCATAAAAATTATATAGTTAATTGTATAGATGATGTATTCAAGTCTTACTGCGTTTCGAATTCTTAAAAAGGAGTCTTCTTGATAATCTGCAATTTAAAATATCAGTGGCTAGCGTCGCATGAAACAGAATATAAACACAAATAGTTGCATACGAAAAATCTCATCATATGTGTTCATCATATAAAGTCATGAAGACTTAGTTAATATGTAAAATAGAAATAAATGAATACACGTAGTAAATTTTGAGATGTACAGAACATTTATTCGAAAACGGTATTAAAACAATATTATTTTCTTATATGTCACCACCAGCACTTTTTTTACGAAATCAATGTCGCTCTTGTCTAGCACATACGTTAAACGTAGCACTTTAAATTTCAAAAACATTAAAAATTTTAATGTTAAGCAAGAATATTTAGTTCACCTCACACATGAAGTTCAAAGTTGGTATCCATGTAAACCTTATTATGGATACAAACAGATAAGAAATAGAAGAAATGAAAGAATCTAGATGTATCTCAGACACAATGGTAGAGTTACTTTCAAACACAACTTGAAACAGAACTGCGTCTGAATGCGACTAAAAACAACTTGGGGTGGGTATGGGTGTGGGTGTGGGTGGGTGTGGGTGTGGGTGTGGGTGTGGGGGGTGGGGGTGGGGGGTGGGGGTGGCGGCGGGGTGTGGGGGCGCGGATGGGTGCGGCCCGCCGGGGGGCCGA